CACCACGAGGCACTCCGATCTGTTAGACACCCATCCGAAGTGGTTCCGAAGTGATCTCTCAAATGTCAACAACCTGCTATCACACTGCGAAGCCACAGACAATTCTGCCTAATTGACCGAAGCGCCCTCCCCATGATGTCAAGGCGAGGTGCACTCTGGGGACCTCTGTTAGAAGTTACGCCGCCAATTTCAAAAGGAGATCTTTGCCAAGATCCTTTCTGCTCCTGAGGTTTAAATTGATTTGACGTCTCTATGAGGCTAGTTGATGTGATGTATCAACTTTATGTTAACTCAACTCGGGAGAAGCAGTTACCCGCCCACTCTACATACGCGGCTGATTGACGCCTATGAGCAGATGCCTCATACCGTCAGATGTATACACGTGTCCCACATCCAACAGTTCGTCTCACCTATAAATACCCAAGGATTGGCAAGAGGCAAAGGTAATGAAACTCTTACTACATAGCACTCCATAGCAAGTATATATTTTCTCCTTCCCCTTATTATTTTGCACAACCTCTGGGTACTGTTCTGACCACCTGAACTTGACTTGACCATCGGAGCGTATACGGCCGCCACCATCCCCGTTGGTCCCGACCGTGTGCGTCTGACCGTGCGTTAATTGTGCGTAGGGAGGAATATGTGGAGTTGCTCTCGGTTGGCCACGTGGAAGATTCAATTTTTGAGGTTAACAGATTGACGCCGTCTGTAGGAAACACTTCCCATTGAAAGTTCTACATTCTCCAAAGGAAGAAATCACCGGAAAACTAGCGACTAACCCTGAAAAGGGCATGTTCTTGAAAAAGAACAAAGTCGGGTTATAATCCAAGTTTTCACCACCCTTGAAAAAGGAGATAGGATGAGTTATAGCCATGAAGACGATAATCCCATGAGAGAGGCCTCTGAAGAAGAGGTGCTCCATAACAATGTCACTTACCAGAGACCCTATCATCGGCGTCGTCGAGGCGCAAGAACAGCCATGCTCACTAAAGGGATGGCTCAAATAACGGCGGGCATTAAGGACATCGCAGCTCAGAATTTGGCGATGCAGGAACTTCTCATGCAAGCCCAGGGTCATTAGGGCTATCAAATGCCCCAAGGATATTATCCGGTGCTGGAAGCCTTTGTATCTCGCTCCCGAGGTCATATGAGCCAGCACACAGAACGCCCCCTCGAAAGAGAGATGAATGCTGAAGCCACATCTTATGTGCAAGGGAACCAACCATCAGAACCACACTTGGGGAACAATTTCCCTCAAGAATATGAGGAATAGAGGTAGGTAAGCGTCTTCGACTGGATAGGGGAGGGTCCTAGCAATAGGGTCCGCCCAATGAGAGGATCAGTTCGGCCAGATCAGGAACAAGAATAGGCTCCTCCTCCTCCTAGAAATAGGAGGGCTAGGAGGAACCTAGTAGATTGGGGGAGTCAAGGAGAAGCACCTCCACCTCCCTAGAACATTCAAGATGATGAAGGGTCAGATGGGCCCTGTCGGTCTTATGAGATTGACGATGACGATGATAACCTCCCTTTCTCAAGGAAGATTCGAAGCTTCCCAATGCCAACACATTTTATGCCTCCTAAGATCCCCAAGTATGAAGGAAAGGGGGACCCGGAGAAGCACCTCACCAAGTATATGACACAAATGAGTCTCAGAGGAGTCTCGCCTGCTTTAAAATGCAGAGCCTTCCATCTAACACTAGGCGGAGCCGTCGAAGTGTGGTACATCAGGCTTCTTCCCCTAAGCATTAGAAGTTGGCCAGATTTGAAGAAGGTATTCTTTAATCAGTACCTCTCGCGAAGAGAAGGAGAAGCCCCAGTGCAACGCCTGCAAGATATGAGGCAGGTTCCTGGAGAGACGCTGAAAAGCTATCTCGCCAGGTTTACGGACGAAATCACATACTGCGAACAGGTCACTGACAGAGAAACCCTTTCATCCCTGAAAGGCGGCCTCAACATGAACACTTTCTTTTGGAGGGACGTGCGCAGCAAGAATCCTTCCACTTATGACGAACTTGTGGAAATGATGAGAGTTGAAATCGTGAGTGAAGAAATGATTGATCATCACAACCGTGCCACACAAGGACTCCCTCCGCCTCAGAGGCAGGTAGGTCGAGGACCCGCAGCACACCTCGTCACTCAGCAGTGGACTCAAGCAGGTCATACAATAGTTCCCACTTCCGGACAGGCACTGGCTTCCGTCACATTAAATGCAGTGCTGGTGTTGGCATACGAGAACGTTCCTGTCGAAGCGGGACCATCCGGAAGAGCTGATAACAAAAAGAAGAAAAGGTCAAACAGGCCCTTGGAAGGGGCAAGGTTTTGCACGTTCCACCAACTCTATGGACATGACACTAGTGAGTGCCGAGACGCTAATCGACGCCCTGATCGGAGCAACCCATACCCTTCTAGCAGGAGCGAATATCTTCGCAGATCCGCCTCCTCAAACAGGGGAGAGAGAGGGCAATCACATCGGAGAAGAGAGTCAGGGACCAAGGTCAATCTAGACAGAGAGATCAGGCCCCATTCTCTGGGAGCCAAGTCATCAGGGAGATCGACACAATCGTTGGGGGGCCTCACATCGGTGGCAACACTAGGAACGCCTAAAGAAATTACACAATGGAAGTAAAGGACCCACCAATGATTACCACATTGTTAACGAGTCGCAAGCGACCGATAGGATGGCCCCAATCACCTTCTCCCAGGAAGATGCAAAAGGAGTCCACCATCCCCATTGTGATGCGTTGGTTGTAAGAGCCGTAGTAGCCAGAAACGGGCTCAAACACATGCTCGTCGATAATGGCAGTTCGGTGAACATATTGTTCGGCTCCACCTTTGACAAAATGCAGATTGAACATGGCTTGATCCCCATGACCAACCCACTATTCGAATTTACTGGGAACAGCATCGTTCCACGAGGGCGGATCACTCTGTCCGTCGAGATGGGTTCGACACCCCTAGTGGCCCAACACTTCATAGAATTCTTAGTGGTGGACCACAAATCGACCTATCATGGTGTATTAGGTAGACCCGCTCTGAAAGATCTTTGGGTCGTCACATCCATCCACTACTTGTGTATGAAATGTCCAACTAAACATGGGATCGCAACGGTCCGAGGCGATCAGATGGGCTCCAGGTCATGCTACGTAAACTCGCTGTGAAAGTCAGAGCCCCGAACTGTTAATGTAATCCTAACTGAGGTTCCCACTCAAACCAGTACAAACGTGGAAATGCTCGACGCCCCTGAACAAGGGCATACCTTTGAACAAGAGGAAGACGTCGACATGGACAAGGCCCCTGAACAAGGGCACCCTCTTGATGAGTTAGATCCCCGAATAATTAACTCTGAACCAAATGCAACCCTAATGGAAGAACTGGAAACTTTCTTCGCCAATACAAAAGACCCCAGTCAGGTCTCGTGTATAGGGAAGGCGTTGTCCCCGAAGCAAAAGAAGAGATGATAAGCTTCCTGAAAAGGAACTTAGATGTCTTCGCTTGGAAGCATGAAGACATGGTGGGAATAGATCCAAGAATCAGTTGCCACCGTCTTAACATTAACCCCTCTTGTGCCCTCCATCGACAGAAGAGACGTGCCCTCAACTCGGAGAGGTACGAGGCACTGAAAGATGAAGTAAACAAACTTAGCTACATTGGTTTCATAAGGGAAGTCATCTACCCGAAGTGGATATCCAACCCGGTCCTGGTGAAAAGTGGAGTGTAGGCGTGCCCTAAAGACAGTTTCCCACTTCCAAGGATAGACCAACTTGTGGATTCCACCGCTGGACACGAACTGATGAGCTTCATGGATGCATACTCAGGGTACAACCAGATACCCATGTTTCGACTTGATGAGGAAGCTACGTCGTTTATTACGGACCGAGGTCTGTATTGCTATAAAGTCATGCCCTTCGGATTGAAGAATACCGGAGCTACATATCAGAGGCTGGTAAACATGATGTTTGCCGAACTCATTGGAAAAATCATGGAGGTCTACGTGGACGACATGTTAGTAAAAAGCCTCCGGGCAGCCGAACACGTAAGCCACCTCGACCAAACTTTTCAGATACTTAGAAAATATAAAATGAAGTTGAATCTCCTCAAATGTACCTTCGGAGTGGCCTCGGGTCAATTCTTGGGATATATTGTCAATCAAAGGAAGATTGAAGTAAATCCAATGAAAATAATGGCCTTGTTAGAGATGAAGTCACCTCAACAACCAAAGGGGGTCCAAAGCCTCAATAGTCGGATAGCCGCACTCAGTCGCTTCATCTCTAGAGCTACGGATAAAAGTTTGCCTTTCCTCAATGTGCTTAAGCAAGGAAAAAAGTTCCAATGGACTTCTGAATGTGAGGAAGCCTTCCAGGCACTGAAAAAAACCTCGGAGAGGCACCCATCCTTTCGAAACCTCAGCCAGATGAGTCACTGCTGCTATACTTAGCAGTTTTGGACGTGGCGGTCAGCGCCGTCCTAGTCAGAGAAGATAGGGAGCGCCAGCTACCAGTGTATTACGTCAGCAAAGCACTTTTCCCGGCTTAAACACGCTACCCAGACATGGAGAAACTGGCACTCGCCCTTATCACAGCCTCAAGAAAACTGAGGCCATACTTCCGGTCCACTCAATCGAAGTTCTCACCAACTTCCCATTGAAGCAGGTGATGCAAAAAACAGACGCGTTAGGACGCCTGCTAAAATGGGCAATCGAACTCAACGAGTTCGATCTATTGTTCCGATCTTGACACGCCATCAACGGCCAGTTCCTTGCAGATTTTATGGTTGAGTTTGCTAAAGTCCCAAAAATGGAGGCAACAATGGAACCAGCCGAGCCCCCCACATGGAAACTTTTCGTTGATGGGTCCTCAGAAAAGACTGGCTCCGGGGCAGGGATCATCTTGGAAAGCTCGGAAGGCCACATGCTAAACTGTGCAGTAAGGTTCGGCTTCAAAGCCTCGAACAACGTCGCTGAATATGAGGCCCTTCTGACAGGTCTTAGACTCTCTAAAGAGATGCAGGTCAGAAGGCTCCTGATGAGCAGCGATTCTCAACTTATAGTGAATCAGGTCAATGGGAACTTCGCGGCCAAGGACAGTAGCATGGTTGCATACTTGAAGTTGGTTCTGGATCTAGTTCCTCATTTTGAAAGGTTCAAACAGGCTCAAGTCCCCCGCCTAGAAAATATACATGTAGACGCCCTGCAAAACTGACTAGCAGCAGGGATTCAGAGCTGCTAAAGGTTGTCCCTATTGAGCACTTACCAAAGCCCTCCACTTTCGGAGGTGAAGAGGTACTATGGATAGAAGACACCCCATTATGGATGCAGCCTATCATCGCCTATCTGAAAGATCAATCCCTGCCTGCCTCTAAAAGTGAGGCGCGAAAGTTAAGAAGAAGGGCTGCACACTTCATCCTACAGGAAAATACTCTTTTCAAGAGAGGTTTCGCCTCGACACTTCTCCGATGCGTGGGGGGTGAAGAGGCCACATACATACTCAGGGAAATCTATGAGGGAATTTGTGGAAATCACTCTGGAGGAATGGTTTTGGCGCACAAGGTTCTCCATCAAGGCTACTTCTGGCCGACCCTGAAAAGGGACGCGTACCAGTTTGTCCAGAAGTGTGACAAGTGCCAGCGCTTCTCCAATATTCAGAGGCAGCCTTCTTAGAGCCTCTCCGTAGTAACCAGCCCCTGGCCATTCACCAAGTGGGGCATTGACTTTATTGGTCCACTCTCAAAAGGAAGAGGAAGCGCAACTTTTGCCGTTTTCGCCATTGACTACTTCACTAAGTGGGTCGAGGCTGAACCCCTTGCCAGGATCACCGAGGTGAACACTACTAAATTCATCTGGAAGAACATCATTTGTAGGTTCGGCATTCCCCACTCCTTAGTATCCGACAATGGAAGATAGTTCGACAACAGGAAGATGCGAGAATTATGCGACGAGCTAGGCATAAGGAAGGACTTCTCAACGCCTCATCACCCTCAAGCAAACGGACAAGTTGAGGCAGTGAACAAGACTATCAAGCACACCCTGAAAAGGAAAATTGACACCTCAAAAGGGGCTTGGGTGAATGAACTCCCCCACGTCCTCTGGGTCATCAGGACGTCTACCCGAACTGCAATAGGGAAAACGCCATTCTCGATGACCTACGGAGCCGAGGTCATGAGCTCGGTTGAAGTCAAAGTTCCATCAAATAGTCGGATACACTTCAATGAGATCAGCAACGATGAGGCTCGAATAAGCGAACTCCACCTCCTTGAAGAAAGGAGGGATGCTACCCAAGTGAACTTGGCAAAGTATCATCGAAAGATGACCCGCTATTATAATTCCAAGGTCAGAAATAGAACTCTTCGCTTGGGGGACCTCGTCCTCAGAAAGGTCTTCCAATCTTTAAAACCAATCGGATCTGGAGTGTTTGGACCGAATTGGAAAGGCCCTTACCGCATTCGCAGAGAGTCTCGACCTGGCACCTTCGAAATTGAAGACATGGCAAGAAAGGCACTACCTCATTAGTGGAACATCGAGCACTTAAGGAAGTATTATCAATGATGAGCCTTTGTTTCTATCCGATCTCAATATTGTCTAATTAATGGATGTTCTGATCTGATCTCCATTGTAAATTCCCTAGCTTACTAAGTGCTGAAATTGCCTTGGTAAAGTGTGGTGTAATTTGTGTCACATCGGTTAGTAAATTATTTCTTCAGTCCTTCAATATGTTTACTTAAGTGATCCGATCCCAAATTGTTAACTGATTAACACCTCGAGGCGCTTCATATTTACTTAAGTGGTCCATTTTATATTAACTTAAGTGATCCGATATTCTGTTATTAACTGGTTATTATTAAAGAGCGCTTAGTCTTCAATGTTCATACAAGGGTAAACAGATCAACACAATAAAATAGCAGAAGCACCAATCCTTAAACAAAATAATTCATTTCATTTACATCAATTCGAAATACAAAAAGGCCGAAGCCATTACAAAAGTTGGCCTTATTCTACCGGAGGGTCTTCTCAGGCCGCTTCTGCCTCGACCGCCTCCAAGGCCTCTGGAGCTTCTTCAGCAAGCTGTCAGACCGGCCTCCAGTTGGTTCCCCGAACTCTGCGCCCAAAGTGGAGATGTCCAGAGTAGGGTGGACCTCTTTCAGCCGACCCAGCAAGCCTTGGGCACTCTAGGAAGCCCAAAAGTTGGCGAAGTCGTTGTACAGGGGGTGTTCTTCAAAGTGGTCAATAAAATTCTGAATCGCCACCTCCCCTGCCAACTTCAACTCCTCCTTCAAGGAGGCGATCTCCTCAGATTGAGCCTCCGCCTTTTGCTTCAGCTTCGCCTTTTCTTTGTTCGAGGCCTCCAGAGCCTCCGTGGCGAGTCGGTGGTGCTCTTTGGCATAATCCACTCGCCAAGTCATGACAGCCACCTAACACTTCACCTTATATAGCTCCTTCTTCAACCGCTCCACTTTAGCTTTGGAGGCAGATAGCTGGGCCTCGGCTTCTTTCCTACTCTTCTCCTCTTCAGTGGCCTTGGCCCGGGCCTCCCTCACAGCATCCCTATAATGCATCGCCTCCTCGAGGCGTTTGACGAGGTCCTCCCTCTTAGCACTTAAATCTTTCACCAAGCCCTCCAGTTGGATGCTGGTGCTGAGTGCCCGGGCCACGCAAGTACTGTTGGCTGCCACCAGGTCTTCGGCCGTGCAGGAAGCCGGGTGGTCCCTCCACTCTTCAGTCCACTATTTGTTGTGGACCACCGCCACTGCAGCTGTTTCCAGAGGAAGTGCCTCTAACACTTCTTTAACCGGCTCCTTCGGATTGGTGCCCAAGAAGTCGACCTCCTTAGAGGGACAGGCCCTTTTCCTTCTCTGCTCCCCCGACACTTAGGCAATAGGAATCGCAGAAAGTGGAAAAGTGGCTGAGGCAGTAGCAACCTCTACCGGTGCAGCCCTCTTCTCCGGAATGACCACCCCGATTGGAATTATAGTCTGCTTCAAAGTAGGGGGTGGCCTCGTCACAGTTGGGCGTTTGGAAGGGGCGGCACTCTTCTTGCCCTTCCACTATGGATCCGCCACGGGGTCCTCTGCCACTTCCTCCTCCGTTGGAAGCTGGAACCTTTTGCTGGTGTCTACCAGGTCCTCCATTTGCTTCTTGTAGGTGGAGGAGGAGGTCTTCAGTGCCCGCGCCTCTGCCATCATCCTTTGGATGGTCTTGAAGTCGGGGCGAACGGACATCTTCTTGTTGAAGTTATCTGCAAAGAACAAACAATGAATCAGTACAAGTGTAAAGACTTCAGAAATATGAAAGGGTGAAGGCTTTGGAACAATTACATTGAGATGCCATCAGGTCGTGTGTAACGAACTGTAGATTTTTTTTGATCAGTCGGTGGTATGACCTCTTCTTCTGAGGCAGCTGATAAATGATGCAAATGGTTTCGAAGCCCTCAGAAGACAGTTAGCACCGAGGAAGAGTACCTTCAAATGAAATACAAATGTTAGTCACGATCCGAACCGAAAAGAAATATAAGGAAACGCAACTGTGATACTCACTAAGTGTCGAGTACTTCGTGGGGATTGTAAGAGGCGCCGGGGGTCCTCTTCCATCGTGTCTCATCGTTCTGCAGCCCAGCACCACGAGCCCTTTTACTCTTTGATGGAGCTCGACAGATCGAGCACGAATGGAGTATGGAAACCCCATGAAGTAAGGTAATACCAGCCTCGGGTCTTATCCCCCCCTAGCTGTCACTTTAGGGATATAAAGGGTCTGAAAAACGGAGAAGGGCATCTCAACCCCAAGTGACATCTCTTTCCACAACATTCAGGAGCCCACCATTTGGCTCTAGGAGTTCGGGTTGACGTAAGTCGGGGCTAACCCGTAGAACCTAAGTACCATCCTAAAGAAAAGGTGGATTGGAAGCCTAAGGTCGGCCCTAAGAATCGCCTCACTTATGGCCACGTATCTCGGTCTAGGGTAGCAAGCCCTCTCTTCAGGCTCGGGAAGGATAGGATCTACGTTATCTGGAATTCTATATTCTAAGTCTCTCTAGGTCGGCCTCCTTTAGTTTGGAGAGGTAATTCGACACTCCCCAGTGCACAGAAGTATCAGCCGGGCTATCCGGCCTCCTCCATATGTTCTCCCCCCAATAATTGCTTCAGCTATCTCAGAAGAGGTCGCCACAGTGGGCTTGTCCATCCTCACTAATTCTAACCCCCTCCTCGAACCAGAACTTCCCTCAGACGCCATTTTTTAGAAAATAAATATCCTAAAAGATACTGAAACTTAAGAATTTAGAGGGTTCCCCAGCCGAAAATGGTCAGAAAATGATGTAAGGTCGTCGAAAATCAATATTTCTCGTCGAAAACGCTCGAAAAATGCTGGAAATCGCGAATGATATGAGAGCAAAATGAGTTTTCTATTTGCACAAAGGTGAAAAGCTTCAAAGACGCTCAAAGTTCGCCTTTTATAGAAGGCTTTAGCTGATCTCCACCGTTAAATTCAAATGCAATCAATCTAGTCCATCCGTCGCATCATCAATCTAGACCGTTCAAATAAAACGCCAGATTTAATCTACGCCTAAGATCTTGTTGTGACTCTCACGCTGGCATAAAACACGTCACCTCGGTCACCACCAGCCGTCCACAATAAGTAGCCGCAGTAGCCTTTTAGGAAAATGGGCATGGCACCCAACTGTCACCTTGAAAATACGCAACAGTTGTCCAATCATTTAATGTCAGATGCCCGCTTCGGGTCGATCTCCTCACTCAACTTTACAAAGTTTAGACGCACCTGACGCAGAGTCCCCTATGGGTCATCGCCTCGATAGCTGCGTTCCTTTCTAAGCTTTACAAAGTTTTAGCTATCTCCCAATGCGTCGTCCCCTGTGGGTCAGCACATCGGTAGCAGATGAGCTCTTCACTCAACTTTACAAAGTTTAGACGCACTTAACACGGAGTCCCCTGTGGGTTATCGCCTAGGTCGCTGCGTTCCCTCCTAAGCTTTACAAAATTTTAACCATCTCCCAACGCGTCGTCCCCTGTGGGTCAGAGCATCGGTGACAGATGAACTCCTCACTCACCTTTACGAAGCTTAGACATACCTGACGCGAGTCCACTGTAGGTCATCGCCTCGATTGATGTGTTGATCACATCATCCAGTCTTGCAGCACTTTAGTCCCACATGAGTAAGTGTTTTCCTTACGCAGTAGCAAAGCTTTAGAGCATTAGCCTAACATCATCGCTTCGGCGAAATCAGAAGATCGACCCACAATCTACCACAAGTCGCGGTCCACGTACCGAGGCATACACATCCAGTCAGAAAGGCAAGCCCACCCATGATATAAATATTCATACCTGGACTTGGGGGGACCACTATTACGCCCCTATCTGGACCACCTCGAAACATCCACCACGAGGCACTCCGATTTGTTAGACACCACCCGAAGTGCTTCCGAAGTGATCTCTCCAATGTCAACAACCTGCTATCACACTGCGTAGCCACAGACAATTCTGCATAACTGACCGAAGCGCCCTCCCCATGATGTTGAGGCAAGGTGCACTCTGGGGACCTCTGTCAGAAGATACGCCGCCAATTTCAGAAGGAGATCTTTGCCAAGATCCTTTCTACCCCTAAGATTTAAATTGATTTGACGTCTCCATGAGACTAGTTGATATGACGTATCAACTTTATGTCAATTCAATTCGGGAGAAACAGTTACATGCCCACTCTACAGACGCGGCTGATTAACGCCTATGAGCAGATGCCTCATACCATCATATATATACATGTGTCACACATCCAACGGTTCGTCTCACCTATAAATATCTAAGGATTGGCAAGAAGCAAAGGTAATGAAACTCTTACTATATATCACTCCATATCAAGTATATATTTTCTCCTCCCCCTTATTATTTTGCACAACCTCTGGGTATTGTTCCAACCACCTGAACTTGACTTGACCATCGGAGCGTATACGGCCGCCACTATCCCCGCTGGTCCCGGCCGTGTACGTCTGGCCGTACGTTGATTATGCGCAGAGAAGAATACGTGGAGTAGCTCTCGATTGGCCACGTGGAAGATCCAATTTTCGAGGTCAACATAAACTAAATTAAAGCTTTGTCATCTTTTGTTGATTATTGAAAGAAAAAAATTGAGATTTCTCGAGAACTCTACCAAAACTATTGATATTCTACAGGAATCAACGGATTTTTGACGTGGGTGAAGTTATGTGCATTAAACATTGAAGTATAATTAATAGAATCATGGGGTTTGTTGGGGAAGACAATTGACATGAAAGAAAAATTTGTTGAAAGTTAGGAAAGGGAGCATAAGTATAAATTTCATGGCTATAATTTATATTATTAGTATTACTTAATCATCATCTAATCAATATTTTTTTTTTTTTTGGTCTCTCTCTTACATAATTTATCTGCACAATTTGCCTACTTAAACACGCATTTGGTAATTTTTCCAGTGTGCAGAAATGGCTGGTGTTGCAGAAGTAGATGATGGAAGCAGCCATTGTCGCCGAGTCGATGAAAGAGGTAATTTACTGGTGGCAGCACCGCGCACGGCTGAGGGAGGAGAAACCCTCCGCCGCCCTCGTGGCAGGCCAGCCGGATCCAAGAATAAACCCAAGCCGCCAATTATCATCACCAGGGAAAGTGCTAATGCACTAAGAGCACATGCAATAGAAGTAAACTCGGGCTGCGATATTAATGAAACCTTAATTAACTTTTCCCGGCGGAAACAGCGCGGTCTATGCGTACTCAACGCGACAGGCTGCGCCACCAATATCACCATCCGTCAACCGGCTTCATCAGGATCAGTCATTACTCTCCATGGCCGGTACAATATTCTCTCGTTGCTCGGGTCTATTCTGCCACCACCAGCACCGTCGGAAGTGGCGGCCGGCCTTACGGTGTACCTTGCTGGGGCTCAAGGGCAAGTTGTGGGAGGGAGTGTGGTTGGTGCACTCATTGCTTCAGGACCTGTAGTTATTGTGGCTGCAACTTTTATGAATGCAAATTTTTATCACTTGCCATTAGAGGATGATGAAATTGTTGCCACTGCAGAGGCCCCCAATCATAACCAGCAGTACGAAAACAACCGGTGGCGCCACCGGATTGATGTCTCAGAAATATATGGGATGCAACAAAACAAATGGCAGTGTACCCTCTGAGACTTTAGATTAACAGCTCCTAATTTCAAAGTTTCCACTTTACAATGTCAAGAAAATTTAAAAGTACTGAATGTTTAGAAAACTTTTATATTTAGGCTTTATTTGTAATTCTTCATTTGATAAATTAATATACATCTACTGCATACAAATGACTAGACATTTGAAAAATTAATAAATTTGATAAACATTAGTATTTTACTGTTCAAAAATAAAGTAATAAAATAAAAAATAAAAAAATAAAAAAACAGAAAGAAATATGAGCACTCTCATGAGCCATATTTCTTGTACAGAACACAGATAAAAAATAAAAAATAAAAAAAAAAATGCACGACGTCTTTAATAGAAATAAATGTACTCAACCAAAACACCGAGTTAAGGATTCTTGGACTAAAATCATATAGTGATTGGAAGCAATTGGATCGAAATAAATTTATTTTCTTCTACAACCTTTGAAATTTGGGGCACACGGCGTCCTTCTTATCAAAAGCATGAAAATTCTATTCAGTTCAGTGGAAAATTATTTTTACCCTTAAGTTTGAACAAGTAAAAGATAAGTGCTGGTGTGATAAAACATGGCTATAATTTTATTAACATTTCAGCATGTTAAACTTCAATTTTAACCGCACATTACATTGGATCCATAACTTTTATCCACTTTTCAATATCATATTTCATCAATTTTTATCATAATTTACTAAATTTTTATCAAAAGCTTTATCACACAACCCTAAATATTAAAAACTAAGATTTCCTTCTGGACATTAGGATATATATTATGAGTTCTTTGGAATTTCAGATTCTTAATTAAAACTTTTTTAGACTTTGTGATACATAATAACCTCATATCCTGACGTAGCGGAAGATTATAGGGAATATGAACAATAACAAAATGAGAAAACTCTCAAGAAAAATTTTATTGAATTCCAGAACCGTCACCTCAAAGGGCTTACAATGCCTTAAATAGAAAAAAATAGCAAAATTCAGAAAATAGAATAAAAAGATATTTTTCCAAAAATAGAAAAATATGAGATAATTACTAAGAAAGAAAATTCTTATCTTCAGGATCATCTTTCAACAAACGGAATATAAATCCGAATTTTATGGAAAAAGATATTGCAAAAACAAAAATTACTATAAATAGTAAAAACGCCTAAATGAGAGCCTAAACGATGGATTTTGCCCAAAATTGACCTTGCGTCAGGGCCGAAGTGATGAAGTACATAAGTGATTAGAGTTTATGATGAAATGGGACTGTCGCAAGGCATAAAAGTGTGGTTTTTGATTTTATGATAATTTTGGGTTTGTTCATTTTTGACGAATTATTACTCTAATTCGATTGGAATCGAGCGAATTGTTACTCTAATTCGATTAGAATCGAGCCAATGAATAAAACTTCATCACTTCGGCCCTGACGCAAGGCCAATTTTGGGCAAAATCTATCGTTTAGGCCCTCGTTTAGGCGTTTTTGCTATTTATGGTAATTTTTGTTTTTACAATATCTTTTTCCATAAAATTCGGATTTATATTCCATTTGTTGGAGGATGATCCTGAAAATAAGGATTTTCCATCTTAGTAGTTATCTCATATTTTTTCTATTTTTGGAAAAATATCTTTTTATTCTGTTTTCCGAATTTTGCTAGGTGTGTTTTTTTTTTTTTTGTTAATTAAGGCATTGTAAGCCCTTTGAGGCGGCGGTTCTGAAATTCAATAAAATTTTCCTTGAGAGTTTTCTTATTTTGTGATTGCTCATCTTCCCTATAATCTTTCGCTACGTCATATCCTCTATTTATTTTATTTACTTCATAATTCTTTATTTCTTTTATATAATGCAATGGCAGAGAAGCCGAAGGGAAGATCTTCACACACTTGAGTGTTGGTCAAGGGAGCTGTATTAACCTTTGAAAGATAATTGTTAGATACCAATATTGCTTGATGCAGAATGTTAGATTATAAATCCAAGGGCTGAAAATTGAAAAATTAAGAAACCCAAACATCTCGTCGTCATAATTAATAGGTACTATCCACTCATTTGTGTGACCTCTCACGGGGTCCTTCTATGCCAAAAGACATAAAAACTCCATCATTCTTTTTTCAGACATGGGTGCTTAAAAACGAAAATCCCATCAATTTTATTACTATCCACTGATATTTCTATCTGAGCTGTTATTATTATTATTTTTTCTTTGGGTAGCTTAGGTGGTTTCAGGAGGCCGGCATGAGAAGAAGGGAGCAAAATGTAGCCAAAGACAACTTGCAAATCCGGCAAGTCATCCTTTCTGCCAAGCGATGGCAATTCCGGCAAGTCATCCTTGCTGCAATCTACTCGCTACTTGTTCGTGCAGGACTCTAAGACAATGGAAAGATGAAGGGTAGTTGCTTCATATATTTCTCTTTACCCCATATAAATATGGATTGAGATTGATATTCTCTTGTGCCCTAATTGAAAAAGATTTTTTTAAAGAGCCAAAAGAACTTTCAAACCACTCAAAGGGCCAAATCAGGTTATGCAGAAACATCTACATAGATGAACATAAAATCTATTCAAAAGATTAACATTCTTTCGCAAGCCCCACTTTCTGTCCAAAAGCATAATTAAAGTTGCCAGAAACCCATAATTAAAGTTTGATACATGAATAAAATCAAGAAGAAAACTGTGAAAAGAGCCACCTTAACATTTGATTTCGGATTGTACGACGACCGTGGACAAATATTTTTAAATAAAAAGGTGTTAGCATGTAATTCAGATCATATACAGCAAGGCATATCAATTGTGCACCAGAGGCTAGCTTAAGAAAAGCAAAAGTGATATTAAAAGAGCTTAAAATACCTTTATGAATCATTAACGTTTCCTAACATGGAGTACTTGAAGAAAGAAACCTTTGTTTTGTTAGGCTGTGGAGTCCACTATGCTATCTATGCCTTTTGCTTTTGCTTTTCCATCATATAGAGCCCGTTTGACATGCATTTTGCTTATACTTTTCCAACATATGAATCATCTGTTATTTTTTCTTCTCATACAAGTCCATAACAAATGAACGCATCTTTTCTCTTCTTCAAGGTATGTTAATTAGTACATTATACGAGATATATTGTAGAATATTATTGATTACATCCTCTAATTCAACTAAAAAACTCATCGTATCTCATTATTTTATTATAAGAAGTTTTAAGTTAGGTCGTCGTCCCATAATTTTTCCATGCACATTTTTAAGTTTCTTAACATATAAATAAAATGTTCTTTTTTTATTTTTTATTTTGCTGTATTAATTTTTCAGCCTAAGATTATCCGATGGACATTTATTTGGTCATGTTGTGCCCATAAAATAATAGTCTTATGCAATAATTTCATATATATTTGGGTTACATGGTTATTTCAACAAAAAAAAATAAAAAAATACTGTATATTATTAAAACAAACAAACAAAAAAATATATTGTTTAACATTCTTACCGTTTCTATAATTTTCTCTTCTTATTGCCGAATGTAAATTCCCATGAATAGCACATAAATCTCTAGGATATCATTGTCGGCAAACTCAGAAGAAGACAACGCATTATTTACTGTTCTTTTTTATCTGTTATTATCTTCAAGACATCTCAACAAATTCAGTTATTTTTTATCATAAGCAAATGTAGTTCCTATAACGAAGTGGCAGGGACATTTATATCCAGCAACTTTGTCTCCTTGAATACTAAATTGAACCACTAAGCAAATGATTGTACTAAAAATCAAATTGTGTGAACTCACATTTAACTCAAGTGATCAAGTAGCTGATTCAACTTCTTGTGCCCCAATAATCTCTGCAGATTGATCTCCTGAGGCTCACATGAGAAGAAGAGAGCCAAATGTAGCCTAGGACAACTTGCCGACTCATGAATATTTCGCACTTATTTCAATAATATTCCAGCCGGCAAGTCATCCTTGGCTGCAATCCACTCTCTTCTCGTTCATGCAAGACTCTTAGACAAACTTGTGTAAAGAGAAGAAAAACTCTATGACATTTTTCAGGAAAAATTGTCTTCATATATATACACAAAAGAACGCACATAACCTCTTCTCTTTTGTAACAGTATATGGGATTTCATTTGAATTTTACTCGGTGCAAAAGCAACCGCATTCCGTGTATTCCATTATTATCTTCATTCATCTGTATACAGCCACTTTATTGCCAAAAAGTAGGATATATTGGTCCTACCCACTTGCTATATAAGGGAGACAAGAGGCCAGACATTGGTTTTAATGCTGGATATGTTGGTTAACTTTTCTTTGCCAGAGGGATTTCAATATCTTTTAAGGGAGAAAAAAATATTTTCCGAAGCAGAAACAAGTCTCCTCGTCACCTACCATAGACTAGGTAGTGCCATAGAGGTGTCAAAAAGGCAACCCGGCCCAGCTCGCTGATTTTATAGATTACAAGCACCCAAATAAAATAAAATTAAAAGTCCTAAAGTAAAATTAAAATAAGAGAATCGATGACTACATTGACAAGGAGGCATTGTCTCTCATGTAATTGTTTATTATAGACATATTAGGCGGTGAACACTATATTTGAATTACCGCTCATTATATATTTTTGGGGCCATTACAAAATAAGGCGTGGTTTTTGTTGGAATTAATAATTTAATACATATGATTTATTACGTGTGAATTAGAAAAGTCTCCAATGGGTAAAATTACTAAACACGACTCTTTGATTACAAATGATGTATATCAAAGAGATGTTATTTCGTAATGGGTGCAACATTTTGATAAGATACAATTTACACAATTAAATATGAAATGGTGCAATCTAATGATTTGAATTAATTTGTGTCAACAGATGTGACCATTCGAAGAGACACGTGAAAATCTATAAATAGTTACCTCCTAATTCCATTTTCTACACTCTAAATTAATTTTATATAAATGATTTCTAATTCTTTCTTTCTCCAAATTATGTTAAAATAATTTTTTAGTTTCGTGTTTGATATCTTTTATTCCAGAAAATAGTCAAGCATCGGTTTTCCAAGCAAAATTAATATTGTGCTATATTAATTTTGCAAGAAACATTGTATCATGAGAGACAAACGTCCATTTGATCACGTTAGCACAAGT